ACTGTCTGGCGCTCACTGTGACCTAATTCTAAAAAGGCCCTTAGGATCTCAGCGGCTGCCGTCAAACACTGGTGTTTTCGTTGAACGTATTTCTAAGAAAACTACATGTTGAACGGCACGTGACCGAGAAGTAAGTCACGCTAGTGCTTTAAAATAAAGGTGAGGTGATTTTTACGACCAAGAATCTCTGATTGATGCAGTACGTAATAAACAGCAGTAAAAGACAGAAAGACAAATTTTATTTTTTAGCCATAGCAGACAGATTTGTGCTCCCTTTGGAATTATTTTAGTAAGTTTGGGAATCCCTTATCTTTTCATTCAGCCGCATCATCAGGTCAGTGCAAAACTGATTCCCTTAGCTGTATGTTGTGTGTAGTTCTAATTAGCAAAGAGGCTATCAAACTGCTAGCATGCTTAATTAAGTTTTAGGTTGAAAACAAAAGCCTCAGTTTTTCACTGTTGTCACGCATGCAGAGCGCAGAATTTATTTATTTATTTTACAGGATCTGGTTTGTGCAAATTGTGTTTTGGGTGAAATTTTGAATGAGACAGCTCAAATAAAATGATTCGATAAAATATCAGTATCTTAAATTTTACATTTGATTGTGTTTCTTGAAGGAAGGCGTTCATCGCACATGATTTGTTCAAGGACTGTCGGAAAATTAAAAAATCTGACGACAACTTCTGCTCACAATTTCTGGCTATGATGAATGGTGGAATTTTGGTGGTTTCTATTAAAAGAAAACATGTCTTTAAAACCTGCCAGTGAATTTAGGGGTTCAGAGGGTATTTGAAATATATATAAAAGTTTTATGTCCCTCCCCTGAGCCAAAATAAAAAACATAAATCTCTCCCCAGTGCTTAAAATTTTTGGGAAAATGCCTCCCCTGTGATGCACCACCCTGTCCCCTCTCATAAATAACAAACAGTCCCTAAATATAAGTATTTGGGCATTAACATTCAAAGTACATTAGCATGCATTAGCATTTAGCTATTACTGCTGTACAGGGCCTTCTTAAAATACTTTTTAGTTGCACTAGAAGCGTGATTTTTTAATGTAGCGCCACCATGAGTTTACATTTGTGGTTCTGAGTGAAGTGTTTTGACAACTATCAGATGGATTGCAATTAAATTTGGTACACATAGTTTGCCCTTGTGAAGCACTTTGTGACCTTTGTCTGCGAAAAGCACTTTATAAATAAATTTTACTGACTTACATTCATGTGCCCCATCAAATCATCTTTAATAACTTGGATGATCCTCTGATTTTTCATGTGGCGCCATCATAAGATCAGAATGTGTCCAATAAAATGACACATTTCTCATGTGCACATTGTGTTTAGTGCTAATTAGCAAATGTTAGCATCCCAAACTAAGAGGGTAAATATTATCTGTTAAACATCAGCATGTTAGCATTTTCATTCGGAGCACTCCAGCATGCCAACATCAGCATTTAGCTCACAGAGCCACTCTGCTGCGGACTCAGAAAAATGTCCATTATCTTAATTCAATAAATGCACTCTCGAAAGAGGCACATGAAAATCAAATTATTGGAAACTTGCTGGTGGCCACTGACTCGCTCTCAGCTATCGGTACTTTTCCACATCAATAGAAGTGTTGGCAAGCGCTCTACGTTCACCATCAGGCTCCTGTACTCAGCTGTAACCAGAGTCCATAAAGGAGAGAACCTGAGAAAATGTACCAGTGTCAACCTCGTGTAAAATGTCTGACCGAGATCTCTCCGTCTCCGTCCGCAGAAACGTTGGGAGCTATTTGGCGTATAATGATCTATATGATATCGGACGGGGCGAAATCTGGTACGGGGGGAGAAGAAAAACATTGAGCCAGATTCCTGCCATTTAATATCCCATTAAAGGGTAATTTGGCATGAAACCCCTGGCATGTGTGATGGAATTCTACTGCTCCTTGTGTTCAATGAAATTCCCCACAGGCTTTGGCCTGTAGGTGTGTGTGCATGTGGGTGTTTGTACTGGATGTGTGTGTGTGCTTGTATGAGGCCTGTGAGTGGTACATGACTGTGTGTGTGTGTGTGTGTGTGCAAGTGTGTTAGCCCTTTCAAGCCAGCAGAAGTGTAGTTTTCCACTGGGGTAAATCTACACTCTCCATCTCCTGCCACGTCTGACTGCCCTCTGTAGTCACAGATAACACTGTGGGCTCAGGCTGCGGCCACAACAGCCAACCGGCCCATTAATGGACTTTTAGCCAATGGGATGATGGTTGCCAGGCACACCACTTCTGCTTTAACCAATCCAAACGGCTTTGCAGGAATGGATTTGTCAAAAGAATGTGCCAAGAGACACCGTTTGTGCTCTTTCTCTCAACTTGAAATTCTTTTCCTCCCTACTTACTGAAAATGTCAGACATTTTGTCATTGTCCACAGAGGGGGGAACATTCAGAGCTTAAATCTGATTTATTCTCTCTTTTTTCCCTCTGTTTTACTATATAAGTTGCGATTTATGTGAAATATTCTACTCAGGGAAACATTTTTCTCTTATTATAAAACCACAATAAAAGTATTTGTAAAAGAGGAATGCATTCACTACAAAAATATCTGGAATGTGCAGCCACAGGAGAGAAAACTACCGAGGAAATGATGCAAACCCGAGCTTAAAATCATTCCTCTCTGCCTCCCTCTTTCATTTGCTCTGTCTGCGTCGGCGAGATCAGATGTGGAATTAAAATTTCATTTTCTCGACCTCTCTTTTGTTTCGTTTGTTCAACTGGGCGATCGCATCGCAGAGGGCCCCAGCAGGTGTTCGGTCCCATGAGTCAACACCGCCTCGGAGAACTTTCCACGTGTGGACTCAAAAGCTTCTCTTGCATGTAACAGAGTAACACTTCTGTAAAAGTGCCAGAGCCCGAGAAATCCAAGAGGGAGACGTCAGCGCCAAGAAATTATATTAACCATAGAGATAAAATAGTTACTCTCTATTAAAAACAGCAGGCCAGCCAGGTGAATTAATCCTTTTTTGGGGATTTCTCTTATTAAAATCTGGTAGAGAGGGAGTTATAAGTCTCACTTGGTCTATCCATCTCTTTCTCTCTTTCTCCATCTGTGAGTCCCAGCAGGTGCCTCAATGTGAAAAAGCCCGATGCTCGTTCAGGTCACAGGGTTTCAAGTTCTTCGATCAGGAGGACTGTAACCGTCGCCGCCGCTGATGCATTTCATACAAACCCCACACCCGCCCCCACCCTCCTTCACGCTCAGATAATATGAAACACATTTGTCCTGAAGAGGAGCTCCGAATGAAACACAATAAAATCTGCTCTTCCCTGCACAAAGCCCCCATCCTCCTCCTCCGTCACTCCATCACCTACACCTTCAAATCCGCCCCCCTCCCGGCCCTATCCATGCTCAACAGAAAGTGAAAACATCACTATTGGTTGTGAACAAAGACCCAGTGTTCTCAGCTGAAGGAGGACTTGGACAGATCTGACCATGATTGTTCGCAGCTTAGACGAGTTGTGAGCTGAAGAAAGAGTTTTGTGATTTGCAAGGTCGTGACACTACATTCACAATTAGGCGGAGATCAGCGTCAATTACATCACTGTAAAACATTTTAATCTGGTTCAAGTTAAAAAACACAAGTTTCCCTGCTGCCTGACACAAAGACAACATGTGAAGCTATCAGTTACTTTGCTAACAAACAGGACGCGTCAGGGTTTGTTTCTTAAGTTACAAATGGTGTCCCTGGAAAGACAGTGCATGCTGGGAATTCTACCATTTAATTATGATGCTTCGCAACATTTCATTCTGCTCATCTACAGTCATTTTATTAGAAAATAAATTTAAAATAAAGATAAACTATTTGTTGATTCCACTAAATTCTTGTACATTTTGCAGTGATTACATCTCATTTATTTCTGACTACATCTACTTTTTCAAGTTGTGCCATATATTTTTTTATCTTTAGTTGGTTGTCATTAATTCTGAAAAAGCTCACAATGTTGAGCTCGACGTGCTCTGCAGCACAACAAAGATGCCCTAAATAAAAACACGTGCTTGTAATAAAGTCCGTAAGTCGACATTTTTTTAAGGGATTATTTCCTTCCAGTAGGTGTCAGAACCCAGAAACAGAACACACTGTGCAAAGACACATCCAAGGAAAAAGGCACAATAAAGCTGTGGCGTTTACAAAACCAAAAAAACCCCACTTCATCTGGTTTTATCTCACTCTGGAATGTGTTTTTCATCCTGCAGAAAAATTAATGACAGAAAATGACCTTTTGTGACGGAAGCAATGTGCGGCTGAAGACGAGAACATCAGCAGCAATAATGTAAACTACCAGCGTCCTGAATCAAGAGATTAAACTTTGTATCACATGACCTAAGACTTTTTGAAGGTATTATTCTCTGCCTAAAAAAAGAAATGTACGCTCACACACACAGAGACACACACGCAGTCTGCCGACACACCAACACACAGCCCATTTGCCTTGTCCCTGCTCTCTCAGCGGGACCTCATGGCAGGATCAAAGGCATGCCAAACAGTAGTCTGAAAGTGAGCATGTTCCACATGGCCTTGTTGTGTCTGGCCTGCTAAAGCCTGGTCAGAGGAGCTGGCTGGGGGGAATTCCTTCTGTGCTCGGCTGCAGCGGGTGAGAGACAGCCAGTCTTCTTGTGTTAGAGTGTGAAGTGACAGTACATGGGCTCCTCTGCAGTGTGTGATATATGTGTGTTGGAGGGTTTTGGACACACTGGACCTCGATTAAATCTATTAGAACTTTTTTTTTAAAGGCTCGGGGCCCTCTCTGCTGCATCTCCATGTCAGGGGTCATAAGAAACACATTCGGTAACACCACACTGAGGAGCAGAGTGAGAGCAAGCAGCCGCAGTGTAATACAGAAATAATGGACCAGCTGCAGGAATTAAAACAAAATGTGCAGATGGAGGGGACAAAAAAAGAACAAAAGTGAAGGATGTCGTGTGTGAGCGAGACTCTTGAAGGGAAAGAATGCAAGAAATGTGGCTCCTTACCAGCCCGATAAACAAAGTTCGCCTCAGCCTCAGAGGAGGACGGCGAGAGCAGCTCGTCGTCGTACTCGTTGGAGCTGAAGGAACCGGAGTGGTTCCTCTTGCGAGCGTCCATGACGGCGTTGGCCACCATGACGTGGCGCAGCGAGTCGTTCAGGTAGCGGTGCAGCAGGCTGCTCTTGTACTTGGGCGGAGACACGTAGTCCTCGGCCAGTGAGGCAGCCGAGCGCAGCCCCGCACCCATGCCCATACCCATGGCCATGCCCACCATAGAGGAGCCCTCCTTCTTGATCACGCTCTGGTACATGGGCTTGTTGAGCTCCTGGGGTCCGTTCTGTGTCCTCTGAGGGTTGTCCCCGTCTACACCATCAAGGGACAAAATCAGAAAAATTTGGATTTGTTACAGAAATACATTTTTTCAAAGCAATTAGAACTATCTTCATTCATTTCACTGCTCACATATTGTCCTGCATACTTCTTCCCGTTTTCATCTTTTTGTGCTTACCTTAAAAAACCTTTGTATCTATATGTCAAATCATGTGTAATTATTTATAGACAGATGAATGCTTCTATTTACTGTTAAGTGTTATAATAATGCTCATTTTAACAGTTAAATTAGCCTCTACAGACACACATTGTATTTATATCAGAACTCCGCTCAGGTTTTAAAATGCTCATTTTTGCACACTGATTAACGTCACATAAGCTTGTAACAGTGACATGTACGGTTTTCTGATTGAAAAAAATCGACGAAGAACCACAAGTCCATATTTTCAAAATTTGAATAATACATTTTTTAGTTTTGTTTCGACTTTACGCCACAATCTTGTAGTTTTTAATGTGTAAAATCCATAATGCACTAAACCCTCTTTTTATTTAATTTTTTATTCTTTTGCTAAATTCATAAACCCTGATTATTATTATGCAATACATTAACGCCAGTGGAGGCCCTTTTAGCCCCACTGTATTTATAAAACAGCACCTAGATATAGTCCAAACTTGTTAGGTTTTAGCCGCCCCAAAAAAGGCCCGCCTGAAAAATCAATATCAGCTTAAGTGTATTTTATTTTGAGAATATTTTCAAGGCTTTACCTTGTCATCAGACAGCTTTTATCTTAAAGCCACCAGAGTCCACTGACAAAAACCAGTCATTTCAATAGGGATGCAGATGTTGGATTTTTTTGCTGACAGCAGATATGCCGATATGTCACATCTCATTTGACCGATAACCAATACCAGTATCAATATATCCACTTTTTTCCCCACCTAATTTAAGTGATCATCAAGTCTCTTCTGTAGTGAATTAACATCATATTATACATGCATATTCTCATCGTGACGGACCACCAGCAGATGGAGACATGAAATACAATACTTTTCAGTGTGCGTTATATTTATTCATTGTGTAAATTAAGAAAAAAACACGTTGACCGATTGTAATAGTTCACTTTAAAGCTGATATCGGCTGATACCAATAACGTGTCGATATTATCGTGTATCCCTCAATTTTACTTAACATAACATGGTAGTTGCTGGTCTACCGCTGCCTCAATTGGTCAGTGTTTCTGGTAAAGCAGGAAAAAATATTCCAAATATAGTACAAATTTGACGTAGTGTAATTTTTTTTAGGTGAGTCTTTTTAGGTCGCTAAAATGGTCGCTAAAATACATTCTGCTACAGCCCCTATCTACATCAGAACATTGTTTAGCTTCCGTGCCAGTAGATTAGTAGGTAAAATAAACACAGCTGAAACATCAGATAGGTGGGACAACCCAGTGTAACTACTGTTAGAGCCATTTCTAGCAAGTCCTATTTTCCTATTATTTTTGAGTCACTCTAATGCACCACCTGACCCTGACTAGCATATTGGGAACCTTTAATTAATGTCAGGTGTGCTGAAGGGAGTGTGGAGCGTGGAAGACACTACGGGGTTACAGTCTTTAACCACTGTGTTTTTGGTTCATCTTAGTATTTATTGTTTGATTAAGTCGTTTAATACCCCGTTGATTTCAACGTTGTTTTTTGTAAAAGCCGGCTTATTTGGGGATTTTTGTTTTCATTCTTTTGAGCGCAATGGCTAAGACAATCAGTTCGTAGCGTCATCTTGCAACTCAACATACATCCTGCAAATCAGTCGACTCTAAAACCAACTGAACCACCTTGGATCATCAAACAGGGGGTAAAGTTAAACCAAAGACAGTGAGTTCATCATATCTCCCTTATGGCGTCTGTGGGCGGCTATTTTTGAACTTATTTGGAAGCTAATAAATAAATAATAATAAGAACAATAATAATAATAAAAAAAACTATATATCTTTAAATATTACATTTACAGCTGAACAACAGAGAAAAACAAGTTTGCCAAGTTCATGTATCTCTGCAACTGGAATAAACCGCAAGATGTGTAATCGAAGGTGAGTGTTGCTGTTAGCATGACGTCACTGTGATTCGGTCTATACATTAAAAAGGGAATGCCACCTAAATTGAAAATTCCAAAGTGTTATTTCCAAGGCTTTGGAAAGTTCAGTCAATATTTATGAACATGAGCTACATGAACCAGCCAGAAACCAGAGATGTAAGTCTCAAACTTGTGATGTCATCAGGTATAAAGCTGGAGCTGCTCCATAGACAATGATTCTGTGGACCCACAGGATGTTTGTTTTATTTCTTACATCCAAATGAGTTTTATTCTACTGTAGCGTTCTAAGCTACACTTTGAGTTTTAAGGTGTGTATGTTTTGTTTTTTCTTCTTTTAGAATTTTTAGTTTTGAGAAGAGGGACTGTCTTCAACCGTGGGAATAGTATGAATTTAGAAAATGGTTGTCGTTCCCCTTTAAGTGCGCGCAGCAATCACACACACTCTGGTTTAAATGATTTTCTAACTTCTGTGCGTTGCATGTTCATCCCCACTGACTCACAGTCTGGTTATTCTGAGCTAATCTTGAATCTAAATTCCAGGGCAGGGAGATTTCAACCTGGCGCTCCTGCCCTCCTGTTGGCATCGCCTCAAGAGCAGAAAGCCCAGCCGAGACTTAAGACGCATTACCAAACCATAACGGATGGTAGCCTATTTCCTCTCCATCAAGACCACATTGCCCCTCTATTCCCCTGCAGAAATAAATAATTTCCAGGGCGCTCCGCAGCCCGAAGAGATTGAATTAAAGCAAAGGTCCCTACCTGATGAAAGAAACGGGGGGGAAAGATAAAACACCGTACTGAAAAACCAGATATCCTCTGGCAGGAGGGAAATCAGTGAGAAGTTCAGTCGAGATACTGTCCCTGCCAAGACTGTAATTTTGTAATTTGGGCAGGTTGGACTTTTGATTCAGTCTGGGCCAAATTAAAATTGCAGCTCCCACATATCAGAAACACATGGACGTAGCGGATTTGCTCCCCTACCTCTGTGCAGTTTGAGGTAGAGTTTAGCGAGTGCTTTGGCGATAATAAATCTGACCACTCATTCTAATCCCATGACAGTGTCCTTTTACCTCTGGGTCTGCCATCTTTTAAAATGAAACTTCCTTTGCTCACACCTACATGACAGCATGTCCTCTTCAGATCAAGCAAAAAACAGCATTTTCTCCCTCAGATTGTTTTACTACCGCTATAGAACAAGCAGGACCATTTCAGGACAGTAAGAGGAATGTACGCCGAGTCAGAGGGGTCAGGTTGGGCCCCATAAATAGCCTCTGGAACAAAAGCATAGGCTTACAAACATAATGGAGGGCTTTTTAGTGCATGGGTCAGGAGTGGGAGCAGGCTGCGGATAGCTTCATAACCATAATGTGACAGGGAGAAGAGTCAGGGAGATATACAGAGCCTCCGGTGGTACAGTGGCCTGTGGCGGACACAATGCAAACACCATGCGCACATTCCTCCTTCAGCCACACGCTCAGCCTCTCCTCCTCAAAAAATTTAATTAGAGATCACTGACACCACAGCGCTCTTCCTTTCTGTTCATCCTCTCACTGTGCGAGAATGTATGTTTTATGTATTTTTTTTGTTTCCTGACCATGTTTTCAGTGCTGTCAGCGAGTAGAGAACGGCAGTTGCTGTAAATACACAGCTACTCGTTTTCAATTGTAGGCTGGGAGACAGAGGTTGGCTCAGCGGGGTGTCTTAATGACAGCGTGTCGCAGCCCGCCGGCCTCGGCGTCTCTCGGCTGGGTCACACGCTCGCCATTTATATACACCCAGAACATGGCTCTGCATAGCATCAGCCCGCTTTAGGACGAGCATGGACGGGGAGATGGCCTGGCCTTTGGCTTCAGTTCATGTCATAATGCTAGATTTCAATTTCGGGGCATAAGAAGTATGATGTAAGGAGATTCTCCCGGTCACTCTGTACAAAGAGCATCAGGTTCACACCAGGGTATGCGACCAGTTTATGAGAGAAGTGCATTTGGATGTTATATCTTTGAGTGATCGTTAATCAGACTGATGGACAGAGCAGGAACGCAAATGGAAAAGTTTTCCACCATGCTTATAAGATGTAGATCTATATCAAACAAATTAGATGATGGAGATTCAGATGTAGATTGAAGGATGTTAATGTAGCTTTTGCTTTCGTCTAAAGAACCAACCCATTCTTGTTCCCAGAAGTCTCATTTATAAACACTGCGTACGCACAAAACAAGGCCTGAAAGAGGCGTACGCCACTTTCCATGCAAGTGGCGTTAAAAGTTATGATCTATGAAAACAAGACTTGATGGGAGAAACTTTGACTCATGCTTACCAACATTTTGGAGACGGGAAATTGGCGACGCAGACGATGAGGTGGAAGCATGATTGTAGAAATTGTTAAATATATTTTGTCGCACTCCATTTTTGGCTTTTGTCTGTACGTACATTTTTAGTATAGATCCTATGCATTGTTTTATAAATTGAATACCGACACTTTGTCACGCACCCTGCGTCTGACAGTGACACACAGGACACCCTTTAGCATCTCTATGCAACGCACAGCTAAACACACATTATAACACGTGATTAATGTTGTGAAACGGTCGTGGTTAGGTTTAGGTGACAAAACTACTTGGTTAGGTTTTAAAAAAGATCTTGATTTAGATTAAAATAAGTCTGTTACGTAATATAACATAACATTACGTGAGTGATGTCAGTGCACATAGACCGTACACAAATTGCGCAACATTATGTTAAAACATTGACTTTCAGTTTCACGCAGGATACAAACTGCAGTGTCCTGGGTGACAGTTTTGTTTGACCCATACACCACCCTTCCCTCCCTCCCTACATGGAGGTCCTCACTCTTTATACAACGTCATCTGCTCCCAGCGACGAGTATGGCTATGGATGAGTTTACATTGGAATTAGCTGAAAGCTCAGTGCGTCAAATAATGATGCTAGAGTGACTTTGGCATCGATATCTGACGTCAAGGGGCGTGACAAAACGTTGGGATTTGATAACTCCAAACTTCCAAGGTCCTTATTACAATAAACAATAAATAAAGAGGTCAAGGGTCACTAGAGGCCTTGGTATCACCTGAAATAGCCCAGTGCCAAGTTGTATCGAAATGTCTCCAGTGAAACTGGTGAAAAAAAACAGTATGCATTTGTATGATTGTGCTCACAGCTGATCACTACAAGCATTCGTTGATTTAACACAACATGTGATTGGCACACTACTGCAGCAGCTACAACACATAAAGTCGGTGGTGTGGTGGAGTCAAGTGCAGTGTATTTGATGGAGTTGGCAGTTCAGCATGCTGAGATGCCATCAAAACATTCCAAACAAAGGTATGACTATACTACACATCTGTGGCATCTGGTGGCATTTTATGTAACTGGATAATTCTATTCAGATACTGGGTAACGAATGAAGTAGAAATAAAAGGCATCTATTGAAAGGCTCTTTCGGTATCGGCTCCACTTTAAGGTTTCTGCTTTCGTAACTTCTGAAACAATTCCCAGCCCTGAGGGCCACAGACAAAAATCAAATAACACTGCTGTTTTAGATAAAATGAGAAGTTGCTAAATAAATAAAGAAAATACTGACAGAACAGTTGCCAATTTTTAGTTGCCTCTTGGAAGAGAGATGAGTTGCTATGAAGTTGCAGTTGAGCCGTACCGTCTGAGCAGCTGTCCTCGCTGCTGACGCTCAGCCTCTCTGCGTTGCCCTGGACATATTTGTTGTAGAGTTTGATCCTGAGCGCCCAGCTCAGGTCTGGCTGCCTCACCGTGTTCTTCAGTCGCCTCCTGGCATTGGCGAACCAGTTGGAGACCTGAGAGAGGAGAAATAGAAGGAAGTGGGAGGACACAGCAAATAGAAACATATGTTATTGTTTGGACTGCAAACACCTCCACATCCATAGCAAAACAAAGACTGGACTATGAAAACGTCTGCTCTCTGCCTGCCATCAGTCTCATTCAGAAAAACCAAGAGGGACCGAGGCAAAAGACAGAACCAGAGTCAGGTTGCAGAGCAGCTCTGAAACAGCTTGAAGAAACATCCCAGACGCTCCGGAGAGACACCCCAGCATGCATCTTTTCTGTATCAACGCCATGTCGAAACATTTAACACCCTCCAAACACCCAACAGCCAGCGAACGCAACGTTTCATTAACTAATGTTCCAACCGAGATCTGCGTCCCCCGTGCTTATTCTGGACTCACAGCCTCCCTCCAATAATACATTTTTTCCAACACTGTCTTCAAGATGCAATAAAAAAGACACTTGAGCCGGCGCTCTTCCTTTCACTGGGAAGGGAGACCATTAGATGTTATACTAGAATAACTTTTCATGCTCAATAGACTTCAAGCGGCTTATGAAGGGGCTGGGACAGGGGCCTTATGCTAGAGTACTTATTTTTCTGATCCCCTCTTCCAGTATCGTGTTTCTCGTTAACTAAGACCATCCCACATCCCTTTGTCTCGAGCCCAGCGCTGTGGCACTCCGGGGGGAAGGCGGCATCTAGTACATGTGGCTTGGCCAGAGGGGAGGGGAGGGGAGGCGAGGTGAGACGAGGCGAGGCGTGGGACAGCTCGCTAATGAGGACTGGAGGAAAGATGGCTGTCAATGGGGTGAGAGAAGAGAGAAGGGATGGCACGCCTGCTCAGATGACACCCAGAGAGATTGAAAAAGGGGGAGCCAAACCAGCTCCTTCACCCGTGGCCTGTCTGTACTGTGTGTACCGTAGAGGAGACGGCATGCAGGCATGGTGATGGAGAGATGGCACCAGCACTTTAGCACAAACTTTAGAGAAATAATTTACAATGTTTAGATGGAAAAGAAGGAGGCCGTTTTGCTTAAACATGACAGATTTAGTTGCTCTAAACACCTGGTGCCAGGTGGGTGTTTCCAGGGAAAAATGCACAGGAAGTGATGCGTTCTACATTGCTGGCAGCACTGGTGTGTTTGGATGAAAGAGTGGAAGAACTGGGTAGTTCTTTGCCTCCATAAATGGATAGGCAATAAAAAGAATGCCACTTAGGGCTTCGATGAATAATTATTTTGTTATTGAATAATCTATTGATTTATTGTGAAGAATAAATTCATTATTTGGTCTTTAAAATGTCAGAAAATAGTGAAAAACACACCCATGTTCCCAGAACTCAAAGTGACATTTATAAAATGCTTGTTTAGTCAAAAACCAGAGGATATTTAATTTTTATGTAATTTACAAAGATAAAAAACACTGAAAAAAGCGACATATTGTAGGAAACTAGGATCAAGTTTTTAAATTTTTACTGGATAGATGACTGCAAATCAAAAGACAATAAAAATAACTTGAGTTAAAAAGAAGACAAGAGACCTCCTTTATGTTGGAAAATGTGGTGAAAATAATTCACCTGCCTGTCATCCCCCTCATCCGCTGACCTCTGACACTGCTGCTGGTATTTGGGGGTGTCAGCTTAAACAGTATGCGTGTGTGAGACTGTGAGGTTGTGAGTGTGTGTGTGTGTGTTCGCAGCCCAGCATCCCGGTGTCCAATACAAAGCATTCCTCTGCACTCTGCTCGCCCTCACCAAAACAAACAGCTCCATCAGGCTCCCAAAATGAGAACCAGATTAAGCACCGTGGCCGGCGGCCCGAAAAAGCCGCCGCAGACTTTCTGAGGCCATATCAGTGACCTTGTCAGCCAGATGATACTGTACATACACAGCTGCAAGTGCCAGACACAAAACACACTCATATTCACCACTGGATTTTCCTCTCAGCGGTCAGTTTGTCAGCCACTAAAGTCAAGTTGTCCACTGTGCTCTTGAATTATCAGTAGAGGGAGCAGTAGCATATAGGAAACCTGTATTTATGCCTACAGTACACCTTGTGCTTCCCAACCTGTGGGTCGGGGCCATAACAGGGTCTGAGGGTGAATATGAGGATTCGAGAGACAAGCCAAACAATAGGAGAGAAGCTAATGCATTTCCAGTGCACAAAATTCAGTTGATTTTTTTAATATTTTTTCTCATAAAATTCTGAATATTTTTACTTGTACTTGAAAATATAAGAAAATAAATCCCTTTCTGGTCATATGACCAGAGTGATCGAGTAGTAGGGTCATAACCACCGACTTATATAACTCCAGATTTTAATATTTACAGCTAGTTTTTCACATTTGAGTGAAATAAAAAAGAATTGCCAATGGCATTTGGACGCAAGTAGAAATAACATCAACCACCACTGCACAAGAGCTGTAAAATAAACAGCTCAAGATGTAAAAACACTTTCTACTCACAGCCTCCTAATTGCCAATGCAAGTCAAAATCCATCTCTTCAGAACTGATTAGACCGAAACCCAACCACAGAAATCAGATTTCACTTTCCCCCCTCGCTGATCACACATCATCCCTGCATGAATACTCAGAAAAACCTCACTTTTCTCACTTCATTTTTTTTTTCCATCATCTCGCCAACAAGTGACAAAGACCGCAAAGTGGACTCACCTGGACCAGAGTCATTTGCGAGCCGAGGGCCAGCAGGATCTTCTCTGTCTTGGTGGGGTAGGGGTTGTCCCGGTGCTTGTAGAGCCACTGCTTGAGCGGCCGCGCCATGTCCTGCAGAGCCTGACGCTTGTGTCGCACTTTACCGCCGCTGGGACGACCCCTGTGGAGCAGCAAGTAGAATAATATCAGCAGGATATGTACACTGTAAAATAAAACCTATTGCAAGATATTATAATAATGCACAAATAAAACCAGGTTAGACTACGTATAAGGGGACTTGGACATATATGTGACACATTTCTGGGCCTTTTTTCTGTTTGTTAAACCAGGACTGTTTGTTCTTTTCTGTCCAGCACATTTATTCATTTACATATTTTACAAATCACTTTTTTGACTTAAAATTTTGGCAACAAAAAAAAGCAGGATTAAGTCTTTCTCAATATGTGTAAAACAGATGATTTGGCATGCACCTAATCTGGATTTATCAGTAACATGATGTGTTCATTATATCATAAAATGTTGGTAAACAGTCTAAATTTTCTCCTTTTTCAAATTAAAGTAAAATCAGATTTTAGAGCCATGAAAGAGAAACAGGTACATGTTATCTATTAGAGTGAAATAAACAATGCTGTGCAGCTGCAAGTGGAGTCTTGAGTGGACCGGCATGTTGTCTGTATTCGTTAGTCATGACACACTCTATACAGTGTGCAATTTTCTCACCCAGAGCTCTGCAATTAAGCTCAGAGAGGTTGGATTAAAAGAGGGAGACAGAGGAATAGGCAAGAGAGAGTGAAGCAGACAGAGGCAGGGAGAGAGACACACAGTCACTCGCTGTTTATTTTTCACTGCGTGTCCCACAAACCGCCAACACGTTGCAACGAACAAACAAAAACATTTTGCTCAGGCGCACATTTTTGCCAGATTAACATTTCACACCCAGGAGAAGTGGACGGAGAACAATGTAGCCGGGTCAGAGTCGCAGCCAAGCCATCACACAAGGGACTGACAAAAAAACTGAAATTATACTTCTGGTTTTTGCTTTACAGAAAAAGGGCCGTGACACATGTCCGGAGGGTGCTGTAAAACATCACAGCAGGGATATAAAACGTGAGATTAGAAATGTATATTCTTAAATCCCAAATCAGCAACTCAGTGGTGAGTACGGCTGCTGACAGCTCCTGTACGAGCAGGGATATTATCGAAAATAAAAGACCGCAAAATATCATGAAATCACAATAAATGTCATATTGAGGAACACAGACACTCTGTGAGCTCCTACAGGAATATTAACAGTTTTCATTCAAGTGTGTCTGAAGCAGCCTGATGGTTTTCCTGCCCTGTGAAGTCTCACCTTACTCCAGGTTTTATGAACCTGTAGATGTCAGTATGGTGCTGTGCTCCACTTCTCCCTTTATCTCACCAAAAAACTCCACTGACTGCAGATGTAACATATTTTAGTCTAACCTCAAGTCTGCCTGAGGTTCATGTTCTACAAATATTTTCCTTGTAATCTAGATCAGTATGAACATCCGAAAGGACATTTTACTCCGTGTTCTGAACTTTGGGTTAAACACTCGCACTCACGCACACACACCTCTGTTTAATAATCTAATGTTCTTCATTAGCACTGATGCTTCCCTTGAGGTGGCACCGTACAGTCACTAAACTCTCTCTTATTATTTAACGTTACTCCTCGTGGAGGCTTCTGAAGGTCACTGCTGCCCATCTGTTCTCTGTCTCTCATATGTACCCGATAAACATGCAAATAACACATAACAAATAACAGAGCTGCGTGATGTTTTCTTACACCTGCTCCCCAGTCGCATAAGAGGAAAACAAAAATAAAATAAGTGTTTAAAAAAAACACTTGGCCCTTCTGTGATTGACTAGACCACACAGAGAGTTGAAGGGCGAATTTATTTATTGGAAACAGATGGGGACTTCTATAACACATGCTACTGAATACGGCTGACCTACTTATTAATTTTAAGATTAGCTGTGAACATCAACACCTAAATGAGGACCAGATTTGGAGATGGTTAAATATTAATTCCCTGATCCATCAGATCCTGTTGCATTAGAGCCACATAAAAAAGTCAGACTGGATAATCAAATCTGGGTTGCAGTCTTGAGATGTTAACTGTAAATAGTTAAAGTTTTAGACCTATTAAGACTTTACTTGGGAATATTTTATCCATGCGTAAATTTCAGATTTCTGGGCGTAAATGCGCAATTTTGCACATCTAAAGAAACTATTTTATCAAACAGAAATCGAGTCAATAGTCAAATATTATCACTCACGAAGGCTCATACACACACATTTATATAAATAACCAATGTAACTCTATAGGAATTTGACCCAAGCAACCCGATCTGAGCTGATATTTCTTAACCTGTCTTCAGTTTGCGCACAAGGTGGAGAGATAACCACACAGCTCTGATAACAAAACCATCATTGTGCTAACGTATGCTGAGTGAAATCACCGTGAAACAGGAATTCCTCATCAGTAGCTCCGGACTCCAGTTAGTCCACATGCTAATAAAAGCCACACATGCTGACCAGCGGCGTTAAACGCCAACAGAATGCTCCACATACCCGCTCCGCCGGTGTCTGATGGCCTGGTTGTCTCTGATGGTCTGGTTGCTGGAGAGGAGGTCTGGATGTTGCCCGTCGATGACTTCTAGATAATTTCTGCTGCTCATTTCCACCTCTTTCGCCTTCTCCTCGAACAGGACCTGGCTGCTCAGCTTGTTAAACACAATGGTGTTCATCTTTGGCCAGATATTCCTCCGATTTCTCTGATGCGCAAAAATTAAAAAGGGGAAAAAAAAGTCTCCTCGGGTTTGTCACAGTGTCCCCGTGTCTCTCCTGTGGAACAAGTGAGGATATTTTACAAAAGAAGTCTTAACATACACTCAACAAACTGCAGTGTGGTCTAAAATGTGACCTTTGGTTGGTGAAAAAAATCCTCTTAAATCAGCAAAAATCATCTCTGGATTAGGATTTAATATTTCTGCTATAAAACGCGCATTTACCGGTTAAACTAAAACGTGACACCTTAACTCCGGTGTGTGTGATTAGGTTACCCTCCACTATGTGCCTGCTCATACAAATACGCTGGATGAACCAGCCTGCAGACTGTCTTGAGCTGAGGCGGACCGTGCGTAACTGCACTGTTGTGATGCGTCATTATAAGGTCGCTCTTTGTAAACATTTGCATCTGCGATTCCAAATCATAACGGAGGATTTATGTAAAGCCTAAAAGTCCAAACATCCGTGAGCTATCAGTTTTTGGAGAGAAGCAAACACACAAAAAATATCAGGAAAAATGATTTTAATGATTATGAGTGCAGACAGGTCCATTATGGATCATATGGGTAAACTCTTTTTATTTTACCTGCGCGTAATAACGCCGTGCTGCATTAAAACCATAATCTCAACTGTTTATTCTTCTGCTCAGCTTCAGTCATGATTTTTCTGAGAACAAGTGACATAATTCCGCTCAATTCTATTTAATACAGTTTCACTTTATTTTCAACAAACAACTATGGAGAACATATAATTTGCTACAGTAAAACTACAGTACAGACTCCGCGGTTTGGTTGTAAAACTTGATTTGTGTGTTTTTATAAATAAAGTGTTTTAAAAATTCCAGAGCATCTTGAATATTTCTGTCCAGCCTCTTTTGCACTGCGGTCGCGCGTCGCTATAAACCCTGAATGGTTTATTTTGGTTGGTGCTCTTCCTTTTTTTAATGCAAAACAAACATCCCTGCAAGCTCCAGAAAAGTGACATTTTGTTTTTCTTTTCACTTTGAGTTTAGGATTTCTCTGGACAGGCTGAATATTGGATCTGTCACGGGGAGAGACGCACAGTGATGTGGTGCCATCAGTGCCCTGCTGCCAAATATGAAGCCAACAGGACCATGTAGTGATGAAATAAACAAAAAACATACCAGCGGTGGGTTTAGGATTCATATTTATATTATATATTATGTGTTAATAAGACTCTAGAAGACGCCAGAATAAAGAGCAGTGTGAACTCAAACCTGCCCATTCAAAGTTGAGCAAAGTGTGTTTATCTTTCCCTACATCCCTGGTTCCTAATCTCAATAAACTGAGCACCATGTCCAAGCTGATCCTGTCGGTCCTTTCCTAAAGCAGCCCTCAGTGTGTCAGTGAGTGTGTCTCGGTCAGTTACCTGTCCCGGGCCCCTCCTGCGTCTCTCTGCTGTGTAGAACAATAATCCTGTTTCCAGTCGCCCATTCCCTGCTCACATGTTCCCGTCCTGAGATCCTGAGCTCAAACCACACGGACCGCCGTCTCCTCCTCCGCTTTATCCAGCGGCCTGCGCCGCGCCGCCCGGGACTCTGAATATCTCACCCTGCTCATGTTTCCTAGTACACAGCCCGAGCCTGCGAACATACTGTGGATGGTTTACGCCGGTTCTGGGGCCGAGGCCAGCGGAGGGGAGGAGAGGGAGGGAGGCATCACGCTGTAAAAAGTAGGCTCCTTAAATCATTGAATCCATGGTGGAGTCTGAAAATGTTACTTTGCTTGAAACCAATGTGTCCAGCTGACATGGGAAAACATCTCCTCCTCACAGAGCTGATGCTAGTTACAGTTTCTTAATAATTTATCATGTTTTTCCTTGTTTCAAGCCTTGGTGCAACTTTCTAACAAGGCATCCCACATAAAGATTTATTAAGTTAAAGTATCCAGTCACTAATGGCTTCATTAACTGTTAATACAACAACAACTCATGTCTTATAGATCAGCTATAAGCCACTGAAGGAAGAGCTTTTAGAAAATGCATAAACTTTCTTTCTAGTGGAGGTCAGATGAGAAGATTGATATTACTGGTATCTAAATTCTACTTCAAGTGACCAGCTAGTTTTGCCTAGCTTAGCTTAGTTTAGCTTAGCACACAGACGAAACTGCTAGCCTGACTCTCTGCAATGGTAATAAAATGTATCTACACCTATCTAAGCTGTGCAATATGTGTAGGCCTACACCCTGTCCAATCAAGTCCACTGAATCTTGTATTTCTGCACTGGAATTATACTTAATTTGTGCAAATACGTAATAATGCAGAACCTGCCTTTGCTGATATACATGACAGTCTGCAGCCAAGTAATTATATATAATTTGTCTTTTTAAAAATGGGAACCCAGCTGTCTCTAAAAACCTATCCAAGGCTCGGTCCCAATCCAAAGTCGTCGAAATCCAGTGCTTGGGCAGTGACATGTGGTGTCAGAAACCAATGAAAAAAGGTGTGCTTTAATGTCAGCATGATACGAGGTTGGCTGCAGTTATAGTTTAGGCCTCAGGGGGAAAATGCGGTGGGGCTAGGACGAAAGTTAAGGTGGCAAAAGTCTGAGTAAGGCGGATGGATGGATCCAACAAATAGCCACTTTCACCAGAGAGAGCGGTGTCTGTGTCTCGTACAATTCTAAAGCCAAACCCTGTTATTTTTACCTAAACCTAACCACGTTTGTTGTTGAAGTGTTGTACCAATGCATTTCTTTTGAAAGAGACTGTATGTAAACGTTACATTTCCTGTGAAAACAGAAGTGTATTTTGAAAGAAGACAATGCATGTAACAGGCAGAACTTGACACGGTGCCCCAGAATGTCATCAACCCATCAACACACCCAGGGTACCTTGCATGTTGTATCTGGACGTGAAAGTCCATGACCTATCCACACCAAATCAAATACTTTCCAATTTCATGGTGCAGGATTTTCAATTTCTGTAAATTTCATATGGCGATAAAAACAAGCCAGTCATTAAAATAACAACTTTGTTTTTGCAATGAATGGATTTTCTCGGATATTACTAGCCAATGTCATAACTCCATTGTTCACACTGTCACACAACAATAGATACTGATGGAATGATCAATTTGTTCTCACAACATAGTGTCCTCTTTAACAAAGTTAAGATTATAAAGAAAAGAGAACATCTGGAAAAGTTTAGCAGTTGAACTTGATCGTGAGGTTGAGGGTAAAAATACTTGGTTTTCGAGGTAATATATCACAAACAATTATTCATTTCCAACTGTTTAAGCTAATGACATTATACTACTGACATTATACTATAAAACCCGACCACAGGATTAGCTAAAGCGTTACATCAATTAGTCTATTTTTGTTGTATATACGCACGATCAATTGGTGATTGTGCGATGATGCAAACATTTGATTTTCGATTAAATGTATGGAGCACAAACATTCGTGTTGGTCTTGATGTAAAAAAAAAAACTGAAAGCGAAAAATCGTCAACCACTATTTTATCGTTTCGTCCCCGGTGTGTAAAGGCCATAAGTGGCGCACTCGCCTGAACAAATCTGCAATCAATCGAATTATAAAAACACACTCACATGCAGTGACCTTAGCTTCGGGGTCACTTAGAGTCTGGGCCCCCAGGCCTTGACCACGTGGCAATCGGCCTTAGACTGAAGGAATTCACCAAACAAGGAAAACAAGATTGGAACCGATTTAAATCTTCTTCTGTGCCTTTGCATACAGAGGAAAGTCTTTTAATACTGAAACACAGTCAGTTGGTGAGAGTGACATTTTTTACAGCCCCTGCACTGTGCATGGAGACTGAGTTAAACCCATTACCAACTGTCTGCTGCAGGCACACTTTACAGTGCAGTAAACCTGTTTTGGATGCTTGTAAAGACTGTATCTTGTTCCTTCACTGCATGATTACACCTTGGTCCTACAAATGTTTTAGTGTTATCCTTACCACATTAGATTTTAGAACACCTCAGGAGTAACTTTCTTTGTATTACATACCCGAGTAAAGCTGCAAGTCTTCTCTCTGTAGAGAATCTTCCTCCTCATGCTGCATGAAGCTGAAGTCCGCATCAATGCTTTTGCTGCAATGATAATTATCTCATCAGATTAAAACACAATCCGAGCTGGTTTTGGTAACATTTAGAGAAAAAGAGAGATTCTTACTGTATATAGCCATGCCACTGCCGATTACTCCTGATGCACCCTCTCATTGGCTCCCATTATAAAAGCTGTCACATTATGGGCTTATGAGTCATAGCTTCTGAGGTCCTCAGCTGTGTGTTCCTTTGGGGTTTATCCAAAGTAGTGATTCAAGGGACGTGACTAAGCAGCAAGAGCCATATGAAGGGTTAGGGATCCATGTAATTATTGTTTATTTGTGCTTATTTTCATTTAACGGGGAAGTTAACTTTTACTAACAGCTTGTGCAAACATGCTATGAATGAGCCAGTCATGTAATCACTTTAATTAAGTTTGGGGAGGGTTTGTTTGCTTAGGTTATACACAATGTGTATGTTTTCCTTCTCGCCTGAAGTGAACTTCTGTTACCTCCCATGACCTTTTAACTGTCATCTGAACCTGTAACGACCTTCTTTAGGGATGGGAAAATATGGACTTGTCGCTGGCATCTCTTTAAACTTAATCCACCTTCTCCCAAACCTCTGCTTTGGCTCACTATATCTGTGTTTCAGTCTCCTGCCTGTTGTCCAGTGTGGGCGTACAAAACGATCCAACAGGTAGGAACATCAATCATGATGTCGTGCTTTGTAGGGGCTGGTGGCAGGGACTCTGCAGGCGTCCCTTGGACAGCTCTGTTTCATTTCAGGCTGGAGTTCATGAACTACACTGGCATCTGCTTTCCTTGTCCTCTAATCTTTGTAGCTCTACTGGTCACTTTGGCTTTGACCAGTAATGGCTTTTGAAGCCTGGCACCAATACCAATACACCGATATTTTTAGTCTGAAGTTGCAGACAGCTGAAACACTGTGCAGATGATACAGGAGCTCAGGAGCTTCTTTTCATGTGACACCTGACTCTCTCATGTACATAGGATAGGGACACATGGGCTACAGCCCCCATTTAGGTTCCTTTATATCGATACAAAAATATTTTACTGTCTGATTTCTGGTTAAAGGGAATCCTAAATTTTACACATCAAAGTCAGTTGACTTATAATAAAGAGGAGCTACAATTCAGCCTGTGAAAACATTTGTATTGTGTCCTCTGCGTCTCAGGACCCGCCGAAGTGCACCAGACTTTAAAGACAATTTTTGTAGTGGCCAAACAGTGTAATACAACTTCTAAGTCCAACAGATGATGCAATTGGTCAAAAACAACTTTTACCCATAGACCTACACTGTGAGAAAGACGCATGAAAATTAGTGAATCTATTTTTTTGAGCGTCACAACCCCCACAAAATGACTGTGGGGGTTGTGACTATCAGGATTTGATCAATTTGGTCTCATAATATTTCAAAAGTCTAAAAGAGCCTCACAATTTAAACATTTCATCCACATTCAAGTTAGCAGAGCGCTAAACAGGAAGTAGCAGTCTCAGTCAGCCGAAGTCTGCAGTGCGCCTGCCCTATGGACCCAATGATGTGGCATTTTTACCTGTGAAATCAAACTGTTTTGGTTTCATTCTTTGCTATTTTGATAGGAATGAACAAAGTAAAGTAACCCTGATGGTGACATAGCTTGATGACATCAGGGTTATCACAGCTTGGACTCAAGCAGTGGTGCCAACTTAGGTTGCTTTCAGACCTAGAGTTCACTTGCTTTGGTCTGAATCAGACGAATTTTGTCATAAAGTTGTATAATTGCCTAGAGTTGGTTCGTGTTCTCACGGCAGCATTTACAAGCGGACCAGATCAAATGCCTTGTGTGAGAAAGCTGCTCTTGATTGGTCAGAATTTCCATGTGGAAAAATCCAGGAAGTAAAGCAAACGCTGAAGAAGAGTACACTTGCAAGATAAATGTGACACTTTCTAATGTCACAATGGAGGGACAACTACGCAGGTTGATTTTAGCGCTGCTCATCGTGGACTATATTGCTGTCATTGTTCATTTTAGTCAAACCATACAGTTTGAAAACGAGGCGCGGCTCCAACTAGAAAACAATGTTTTGATGCATTGGATGTGCTGAATGTGCATATTAAGGCAGTACAGGAGGAGGTGCACATTAATAATCCTCCAGGACTGTAACATGCTCATGTTTAACCCAAACAATGTGTCATGTGACTGCAGTTGCTTCACATCCAGGTCGGAACACCTTCTCACCACAAACCAACCACACCAGAGTTCATTTGCAAACGGACTGAGACCACCTCTTCAAGAAGGTTTCAGTCCGGTTGTTTTGGTGCACACCTGAGTGTGATTGCTGTGTTCACACCTGCCCAAACGAAGGCTTGATCCAAACCAAACAGGGCAGGTGTGAAAGCACCCTCAGTGACTCTCTCACTAGATTTAGCAACTTTTCAGAACCACTTATC